CAGTCAGTAAAGCATTTTATTTCTTTTTAACGAAACATTTTTGGGCTCGGATATACACTTTCTGAAAAATAAGAAATAAAAACTAGGTGTTGCTGGAGAAAATCCAAATATCTCTAACCTGGACCTCTGCCGAAGGAGATACGCTGTGATTACTGGAAGAACCAAGACTAATTTAATGAGCAGTGCGTCTACTTTTTCAGCATTGAAGATAAAAATAAATATCAAGCAGCTGCCTGCTTTACTATGCAGCAGCCACAGGCTTTAATCTATTTGATGGACCATAACTTTGCATAGAAAACAAAGAATAGAGGGAGTATTTCATATTTATGAATCTATTATATTCACATGCTACAACATTGCACTATTTATCTTCGGTATATCTGCATATGTATATGTCTTTTGATATGCTATTCACACATAGTATATAGACATATAATACGCATATCAATATATAAGCATCCCCATATTTAAATTTAAGTAGTTAGGCGTATTTGAAAAATGTATTACAGGCAAGAAACATGGAGCCATGCATGGTAAACACCACACTCATGTACCCGAAGTCTGTCTCTAAATCAGAGAAAATAAATCGCATACAGGTAAAATATAACTGTCAGGATATTTCATTAGAAAAATGCAAATACTTGGAAGTGCAGAATTACTCTTTTGGATATTACAGTCCCACACTACTGCTTTTTGTAGTAGTGGATATACTGGGAAAAAGTACAGTAGTTAGAAAGATTGCACAATTCCTCTTATACAGGCCTAAGCTCAGAGCAAAATCAAAATAGGAAAGCTCTTATTTCAAGTCAAAAGCACCACCTGTCCATCTTCCTGCATGCCTTTCAAATGTTACTGTTGAAAAAAGAACATGTTAGACTGTGTACTATTAAAAAGGCTCTCTATCTTGAGCAGTTGTGTACACTGACTGTCAGTAAGTGTGCTTGCTATGTAAGAACCCAAACTACTTACTGAGGGAAGATAAATCACCTTCCCCTAATATGATATCAGTGATTAGCAAAGTTATTTGAGCCAGCATTCCTTCTCAGCCATCAGGGATAGGACTGCAGTGCTTTACACAGTTAAGATGACAATGAGGCCATTAATTTTGCAGAAGACTTCCTTGCAATACCACCTTCAGGATGAAATACCTCCATGCTTTTTGCTGAAGCTCAAACCTGGGGTCCACTCACCAGTGGTCTGCATGACACAGGTGGCAGCAGCAGTCTCTTTGGGGCCAGGATGCTCAGAGCACCCAATGTCTTGCTGCAGGCCCTGCTACTGCCCCTGCTGCACACACCCCTCCCCTTCTTTGTTTTCTGAGCACACTGATGCTTTAGGAAAGCCAGCTACAATATTTTGACTCTGGCTTCGAACTGGAACTCCTCAGGATTCATCTCTTCCCAGCGATTTCTCTGTCAACACTGAGAACTTGGTTTCTCCTGTTTCCTTCTAACATACACGTTGGGCAGTCTATGGCAACACCCACTTGGCTCAGTTTCTGAGATGGATGGGTTTCAGAGTGTGAACTGGAAGAAAAAGCACCAGGCCAGACAGACCTGAACCCACTCTTTTTGTTTTTCTTGATGTATTGTTCCAACCTATAGCTTAGGTTCTGCTGTGGATCACCTACTGCACTTCCAGGTTTTGTGAAATAAGAGTCATTACAGCCAGGCACACAAGCTAAATCATTACAAGTAAAGTATACATAAACGCAGTCCAGAGATGCTCACCCTACACAATGTCAGGCAAAGCCCTACTGATCACAAGTTTCTAGGAATAGTAACTTGCTTCCTTATTTGTCCATAAAGTGCCTATTCCACATGGGTGCTTTTACAGAAAATAGATAGCAACAAGAAAAGAAAGTATTACTAGTAATCCTCAGGATACCTGTGAGATGAGCAGAGACCTGCTTCTGGGTGATGGAAAGCAAGTGACAACTGAGGGATTAAGTGTGGCCTTGGGAGAAAGTCTTCTCCAGCACTTTCTGGAAAAGCTGTTCTGATTCATTTGCTTTCGTTTCTGTTAAAATATTGTGACTAAAAATTCTGCTTGCATCAGCCACAAAGCTGGCAGACTACTGCCTTATCCTTTCTGGTAAGAAATGCTTTATTTAGCCACATAAAGAAGGCAAACCCTCCCTGCGTCACTTGTTTTATTTGTTTCTTCCCAGGACTTTATGGGACAAGCTCATGGCTCATTTTCCATCGTGCTGACTAGCACTTAGAGAACAGATGATTACTCACTGTCATGCACGTAAATCTTTGAAGTGCAAAGAAAAGAATGTCCTAATTTACTTCTAAAGAGAAATCCCAGGATCCAGCAGAATTTAAAAACTGATTTTTCTAGGGCAATGCTTCTTTCATCTTCTGAATGCTAAATATCAAAAAAGAGAGCTCTATCTTAATTCAGGCTGAGCTCTGACCCTTGAAGTCATATGATGCCGTCTGTGTTTACATGAGCACAGATTATTCTCCTCCGAGCCAGCTCACATAAGGCACATTCCTCTCAAGTTCTCTGAATCTTTAACACTCGTTCCACTCCCTCACTCCTGGCTCACTGGGGAATGGGATGCTGTGTTGTCTGAATGCTGCACAATAATTTCCCCCAAATCACAGTGAGAAGAAAGGCTGGTATTATTTCCATTTCATTGACAAGAGGCTGACTCATTATATTAATCTTTCCTCTTCTTTGGTACCTAATTGTAGTGGCAGCTTGCATTTTTTAATAACATTTAATACGCTGTACTATTTTCTATACTCAGAGAACAGATCCCATTAGTTTCACCTGCATTTACTCAATACTTCAGCAGAATCTAATTTGTGCACTCAGCAGCAGAAGTAGCCTCATTAACCTCTGAACATGTTCGAGCTGCTTGCCAACAGCAAGTGAGAGCTCTGGGCAGGGATGCAATCCAGCCCATGGTGCAACTTTCAACAAATTTCATCGCTGTAGTAGACTTCTTTCTTCTTCCTTTTCATCACATGCCTTCCATTTCCATAAATAGCAAGGAAAAGATACTTAACCACAGCCACCCCCTCACCCACAGCCATGACTTAACAGTCATCAAAAAATGAAAATAGTAGAAATTGTAGTCAACTATAGCTGTGGCTTTCAGAGAAAGGCAAAATTTGGACATTCTCTTTGGTTTTAACCACCCAAATCCAATTTGTGGACAACAATGCTTCTAACTATGCAACCATGCTTCTTCAACTGAACAAAGTTTCTTCAGTGCAGTGAGTGAGGCAGGAGCCCCCCAGAAAAAAATTGGGATCACATAACTAAAAATTTTACCAATCACTTAAGCGTACAACTGGGGTTGTGCTGATGACCCCCTGTTTGGTGTTCCCTGACTTCCAAATACTTAATTTTGCACTTTAAAGCTCTTTTAATGATGTCTCTCTCTCCCCTAGTCATTTTTTCTTACTATTGGAGATATATGAACTCCTTTCCCCAGGCTAAAAGACCGACGCGGGCAACCCTGAAAACAGTTTATTGCCCAAGGCTGGACCAAAGCTTATAAACCAAACAACAAAAATCAGAGAATCATGGAGTGGTTTGGGTTGGAAGGGACCTTTAAATCATCTAGTTCCAACCCCCTGCTATAGGCAGGGATATCTCCCTCTAGATCAGGCTGCTCAAAGCCCCATCCAGCATGGTCCTGCATGCTTCCAAGGAGTGGGCATCCACAGCCTCGCTGTGCAACCTGTTCCAAGTGTCTCACCACCCTCATAGTAAAGAATTTCTTCCTAATATCTAGTCTAAATCTATCCTGTTCCAGTTTAAAACCAGTTCTCCTCGTCCTGTCACTACACGCCCTTAAAAAAAGCCCCTTCCTAGAAGCAGATTATAACTTAGTGCCCAGGTTAGTCACAGAAGAGCACGCAATAACACTTTGATTTTCCTAATTACTTGCTGACAACAGTGGAATGATGGGATTTCCTATACAGAATTTTTGAGCCCTATAAGGTCACGGGGTACAGACACCACCATGCCAGGCACTAACTGGAGCCCGGCCCCTTCAACTTCAGCTCCTTCAAACTATCTCTGTTAAAGTGAATTATTTGTTGGAACTGACCCTCCTCCACATGGACCTGGCATTTTTCAAAAGAAAAAATGCTGTGTAGAAAAATTCCCAGTGAACTCAATTAGCTGGAATCTTCTAAATGCTGTCAGAACCCTGTACTTCCCCTCAGTCTCATATGTGCAGTTTTCTGGAGAAGAAAAGCCAGTGTGACATATGATATGGAAACCTCCCAGCCAAACAGCTGAGCAGAAGTGCAAGCCTTTTTTTTTTTTTTTCTCTTGGCCTTTTCAAAAGGAGAAAATCAGGCATTTATCCCTCCGCACATCCAAGACAGCAGTTCACTGGAATGAGTCTCATTGAAGAAGCAAAGCAAACTCAATCTTTCTTGGAACTGGAGTAGTCAGAAAAATGGAGGACTTTCAGAAGCTGCCTGCTTGAAGAGTTAAACCAAACCAGAAGAGACCACATGATGCATTTATTTTTGCGAGAAGATTTTTTAGTAATGCTAAGCACACATAACTCTGAGAAAAGTCATGGAAAATAGATGTTGCAAATGAGCTTGAAACATATTGTCCTGAATTGTAGAGAGTCTATTCAGATAAAAATACAGGACTCTCTCTGGAGGCCTGTATGGGAACTGCTGAATCACAGCCAGAACCTCTCATTGACCACCTGAGGTGAGCAATGAATCAGCCCTGGGAGCACAGGTGAAGGCAATTCACCTGTGCTACCTGTAGGGGTGGAGCCTTGCTCCACCTCTCCTAGACCCATTTAAGAGCTGACTGCCCCTAGGGAAGGATCTCTTTTGGAGATTGCTCCTCTTGGAGTCTTCTCAGTGAGCCCTAAGACAAAGGTAAGCTTTCCATCTGCTCTTCTTTAGTGTGTTAACTTGTTTAGCTGAGCTTTTTAATATATTTCTTAATTACAACATCTGTATATTGATTTATTATACAAGGTCCTTTTTTCCTATCACAGTGAGGGCTCTGTGGGTGTTCTTCAGCCAGGAACCTAACTGGATGGTGGAAGCGTGGTGCTCCTGGTTCTAGAGTTCTCATTTTGTGCAATGGAGGTTAAAAAGGGCAGTATGTCAGGTGCCTCTGCTCTAGCAGGTCAAGGTAAGAGACTTCATCCATTTCAACCTATCTAGCTAGAGGTAAGGACACTTGACTACATCCAAAACTGCTATTCTTGGGTGTTCAAGACAGCACCAATTATTCTTCTCTCTTCAGCCTCTTTGAAAAGGGAGAAGGCCGTGAGCGATGTATTTCTCAAGCATTAAAAATAGCTACACAACAAAATCCCTTTTCTCCATCCTATACAGAAACATCACCCCCTCCCTGCACCCATCTCTCTGTTTCAGACAGGTTTCAAATGGTCACCAGCTACAGCAGTCAAGGCAAGGCCAAATTTGGGATTTTATTTTTAAAACCACTTGAATTCATTCTGTGGGATATAATAAGCTGGCATGTTGCAATGTTGATGGAAGAATATATGTCTGAGTGTCACAAAACTTGGTAGCTGGATAGAGGCAAGTGCAGTTCAGCAGTGTGTGTGGGCTGAGGAGTCCTGGCACTGCTGCCTCCTTGGCAAGCAGTAAAAAGGAGATGTTGGAGGAAGAGAGAAATGGGTGAGGGAGAGATGTGGCAAAAGGTCTGGAGGGATTGCTGGGCTTAACAAAGTGAGGAGTGCACAGAAAGAGAGCACAAATCAATAGGGAACCAGGCATCACCAATTCCTCTGTTCACAGGAAAAAACACCCTGTATAACTGGCCCCAAGTATTGCGTGTCAACCAGAAATAACTGGACTTAAGAGTTTTATTCTCATGGGGATTTGTGAGTTATAGTACTTAAAATTTCAAGGCATTACAAATTTTTGCTATGGGACTCCTTTTAACCCCCTTGCTGCTGGTCCTTCTTGCATCTTCTGTGCTGTGGAAGAAGGTGACTGTTTTCCTCTGCTGTGTTGATGCTCCATAGGTAGAAACCAGGGTATCTGTGCTGGGGTTTCTGAAGCATAAAGTGGGAACAAGCCAAAAGAAAGACTTTTTCTTGTCCTGGGAAGGCAAGGGGAAATAATGAACAAAAATAAAGGTGGTGTAGGTGGGTGATTTTTCTGGACAATAGTTTAAATAAAAGATAAAAATTGACTGAAGGAAAACCACAGTGTGAGGGGGAGGTATTCCAGTGTACCAGATTGGAAAAATGTCTGTTAATTTCTCATGTGAACTTTACCCAAAGTAGATCCCTCTTCTTAAATTTTTGAAGACTACTTGGGCAAAGTCCCTGCTGGGGGATACTTTTGGAAGGTAACTTTATTTATCAAATACATTTGCAACGTGTTGCTCTCCCACAGAAGACTGGGCAGAACACCTTCTATGTCACTTCTCCCAAGATCTCTCAGAGCAACAACTGAACGCTTGTCAGGCAGCATCCAAAAGCAGGACCCAACCTGTGGGATCTGAAATGTTGGGGCCTGACCCAGGGCAGTTAATTGCTGCCAGTGAACGAGGAGGGCAGAGAAGAAGCTGTGGGAATTGGCTTTGTGGAGTGCAGCCCAGAGGCAGATCTCAGAGGGTCGTGTCTGTGCACCAAGGGCAGCTGTGAGGAAAAGCCCTTCTCCACAAAGCACCCTGTGTTTCCTGGCATGCTAATCTCTCCAGCTCCTGGGGAACAGGTGTGTTTTTCTTTTCTTTTTTCAAAGAGCAGTTTAGAATTGGCTTTTTTTTTCCTCTGGATAACTGTTATTTCCCATCTTGCTCCCATTCCTCTCTTCCAAACAAGCTACAAGCAGAAGAACAGCCAGGCATGCCTCCTTGCAAGCCTCAGGTACAAGGAGGAAGATCCAACAACGCAGTTGGAATGGCTTATGCCCCCCTGGGCATCCATCTCTTCAGATCCTGGTGGAAAAACCCCATTCCCAGTTTGTCTTAGGTTGAAGCCTCCTAGGTAACAAAGGGCTGACTCACAGTGCTGAGAACCCTTGTATAGATGGTCTGTTCTGATGTTGCTTTGATAAATCTTGCTATGGCCCAGCATGTAATGTCTTCCTAACAAGGGAAAAGCTGAGATTGCAACACATCTGATGTAAAACTTTTTAAAATAGCCCTCAGTGAGGGCTTTTCACAATCAGCCTGGATGACTTTGCTGGTGAAGTTGAAAAGGAGTAATGATGACAGCGCCAGTGCTTTTTCCCTGTGCATATGTGTAACTTAACATATGTTTGAAAAAAAAAAAATAAAAATAAAATCTTTTTCTAAAAAAAAAAAAGAAAAAGAGAAATGTTAAGGGTGTGGAATCACTTAAAAATTAGTGTAAGAATGATATATTTAACATGACCTTAAAATAATGCTTCCAAATCTTAATTTGTTTCTTAGACAGACAAAGAGCGATTTGTGTTCATTCTCTGTAAATCTGTCAATAATTTACAACTTAAATGTGTCTATCTCCTTTAAGAGAAAGGAGGATTTAACAGAACCAAAAGTGGTCAATGGATTGATCTTTGTTTTGTATTTTTGATGCTTTTCCCTTCACTGCACCTCTGGAAGTGATGTCACTTGTCAGAAGAAATTACTAATGCTCTGTTCCCCAGTAGCAGCAATAGGAACCTACATTTCTCCTACATGCTCCTCTTTGCAAGAGAATCTGGTATATCTGCATTTCCGTTCTTGCAAAAATTATTTCTGATTTCATCCTGAAAGATTCACACTGCAGAACTGGGACTGAGGCTGAACTTCTGTCCTTCAGGGTGGTATCAAAAGGGTGGGAAAGACTTACAAATATCCAGCTGGAGGAGTGGTAAATAAGAGCTGGTGCTACCAGCTCCCCAGCATGAGGCTAGATACCACAACACAGCTATGATTTTTATCAAGTTTGGTCATCCAGTGGACAAGCAAAGGATGAGATAGGACAGAGCTTGATAGTGCCACTTCCCAGGGCACTTGAATTTCTTCCTCGGAATATCAGCAATGGCCTGCTGCTGGAGTACCCCTCCACTGAAGGGAGGCAATTAGCAGCTTCCAAGGGTGCACTGCTTCATTTCCCTTCAGGTAAAGTAATAACTCAATGTCTCTTGCCCTGGGGCAAACTGGTGGTGTATGTTTGAAGCACTCAATATATGGTGCTTTCTAAATTCCTGCTGGTTCCTCGTATTTTCCTGTTACTCACCAGCTCAGAAGCTCAGGCAGGTTATAGTTACAGATCACTGCCTTCCCCTCCTGGCTGGTGAAAGAGGCTGAGGGGTAGCTGGAGGTAACTGCATTACATTTTATTATTGTTCCCCTTGAACAGAACAGCAGAATCTCTTCTGATGTGACAGCACAACACCTAGATTTTTAGAAAGCCGGTTGCAGACTTAAAATAGAAATAAATATTGATTAGTGGGATGGAACATGCACTTCCTTACACAGCTACAGGATCAGATTCAGTAATGCTTCCTTTCTTTCAGTTGATGACTTTGGAAGCTGTGGGATCTAACCACACTAACATTTTTTATGCTTTTAGATACTATTTTAATACTTTTCTCATCAGCTTCTGGCTCAGACATTCTCTTTTGCTGAAACAAGTTCCCTGGACTTCTTTGTTATGTCACCAAAAGTTCTCAAGCTTGATTTTGAGTGGAAAAAAATAGTCCTCTATAGAGCAAAAAATTAGTTTGACAGGAAGAGCCCAAAGCTTAGGAAGGTAGAGTTTGAAGCACCGTTATTTAAGAGGTGTTAGAAGAGTCATAGAGCAATGTGAGGTGTTTAACTGAAGAAGGGGCACCTTGCTTAGGAAGTCTTTTCTAAGCACATGTTGAAATCCTCTCAGTGCTGGGGCATTGGCACCTGTGGAGCTGTGGGCTGAGCCAAGAGCCCAAACCAGTGGTGTCCAAACTCAGGCTTTGTCTCTGCCTCACTGCCCATTGTCATCTCACCCAAAGCCTCACTGTGTCTGCACTGCTATGGTTAGATGCAAACAATATGCTTATCTTTATCTTTTGTGAATCTGAGTGGGTCATTAAAGGTAAGGAATTTAAAAATTCAAGTTAATACATTAAAAAATCTTTCAATTTTTTATTTGATTCTCTAAGCTATTAAATCATCATCTTTAAAAATGTTTAAGGCAAATTATCACACAGAAGGACCTTCAAGGAAAAAAGTTTATGACTTAAAACATCAAATTTTAAAAATGCTTTTAATCTTGATTCTGTGTTTTCAGTCTCTCATGGCTCTATGGTTTCTTCACAGTAGCTGTCTTATCTGCATTTGCCACTGAGATCAATAAAGAGATGCTGATTAAAAGAAAAGTGGCTGGAGATCTGACTTGTCTGTTTGGTATTTATCTCAGGCCTGGCTGCAGCGCTGCACAGGCTCTGAACACAATGCCAATTTTGGCCTAGTCTTGTCTTCTGGTACACAGACACATGCTTGAGTATAGCTCCAGCCTTCACCAACAGCTCTGCTAGAACAAATGTGCCTTAAAAAATGCACCTTCAAGTTAGATCAGAAAATTTCTTCTCGGAAGAAGTGGTGATACTGTGGCACAGGCTGCCCAGGGAGGTGGTAGAATCACTGCCCCAGGAGGTGTTCAAGTACTGTGGGGATGTGGCACTGAGGGACACAGTTAGTGGGCATCGTTGGACTCAATGATCTTAGTGTTTTTTTTTCCCACCTTAATGATTCTAAACTCAGTCATAGCCATTCCTTAGCAGTCCCTTGTTAGAGTCTTTCTTTTAAAATATGACTTTTAAGTTAGATATACAAAATACACTGTGCCTCAGTATTAGTAGTCCAAACGGGCCACCATGAAAATGTAGTTGCAAACCAACCTTAATTACCACAGGTGCCCCAGGGATGCATTTTTATAAGTATCAGAAAGAGACAGATCAGCATCTGTGTCCTGAATTCTTTATTGGTGTATTTTTGTTCTGCCATGAGAAAGGACTTCATGAGCTGCTGGAACACAAAGATTTCCTCAGTGGGTATAGCACTTAATATAACAGTGGTGGATAGCAGATAGAGAAGGATATCCAGTGCTTTTGGCTAGTAAATGCAGAACACAACACCAACTCTCATTTTTCCTAGTTTACCAAGTAACGGAACCACTGATGGACAAACCACTCTACATAAAATCAGAGGGACAGACCATCAACTCAGCAATAGGGATTCAAGTCCAACAGTATGCACTACTTATGGAATGAAATTGCAGAAGGACGGAGAGCAATGACACACTTTCCAGCGGTAACAAAAAAACCATGCTCTGATGTTGTCTGTGACAACTATTTTCATTAGGTTTGGTGAAAGTGAGCCAAAGAAAAAGGCATCACGCTGATAATAAAACAGGCAGTTGGAGGCTCATTATTGTGCCATTTACCTGCACCTCTATGTAGGCTGAGAATCCGTTCTGCCAGGCTTCTCACTTTTTAAATATATCACAGACACATGCACAGACGAATCATGAGGTATAGACCTGTCAGGAGGCAGACTAATGTCAGCACTTCACCCTCCTGGCTGTCAGCTCTGATTCCAAATAACCTTTTGTCTTGTTGTTTCACTTACTAAATTACAGATCAAGCAAAAAATGTAATTATACCCCCAAAGGCCACGGATAGCATCTTAAAATACACAGAACTGTGAACAAAACAACAATAAAAAGATAAAACTAGTACTACCCATGGTGCACAGCTAATCCAAAACACTCTGCAGTCCCATATGAGCTATTACAGATACACTTCCTCTGCTGAAACCTGCTTCGCAGGGACAACCCCCATTTTTAGTATAATTTTGCTAAAGGAAGTCTCATGAAAAACACTTCTCTCCTGTTGCAATAAATACTTTGTTATACTGCTACTGAGTTCAGCACTTGCATTTTTTAAAGTAGTATGAGGTTGGTACTATTGAGCCTTATTGTCTATGCACAAATTTATTTGCTGAATATAGAGAAGTAAAAAGAAATCCAAACCCTATAGGAATATACTATTCTTTCAGGTAGCTCTTTCTGTGTTATGCTGGATTGTAATCTCCGCCAACATACCTCATTTTCATCCATTCTGGAAGTGCCTTAAGCACTGCCTGTAAATTCATTTGGCCTGACAAATTCAGCAATGCATTATAGACCAGATGGAATTAATCAAATCAAAGGCAGGGGAAGAGGGGAATCAAAGGAAATTATTTTTCCCCTACTTCCTAAAATACATAACTAAGTAGGACTAATTCATTTGAGGTGGTTGGAGTTGACCAGCTATCTCTATCTCTTTATCTACTTGTATTTTAAAACACAGCCCTGAGAATACAGCCCAGCAGTAGATAGGGGAAACATCACTTCTCTGTCCAAATGATGTGCTAGTCTACCAGTATTTTCTTGTGGACTGGCAAAATAACAGACTCAAAACCCTTACAGAGTATGGACCTCAGAAGACACTACTGAGAATAGTTATAGATTCATCTCTGTAAAACAAACCTGAACAGATTTTCCTGATGCCAGAGCATAGATGCCACAGACACATTTTCCATATCCTAAAGGAAGCTGTAAGACGTTCAGATTTTACCCCACCACATTCCCTGCCATCAAATAATGCCATGGCTACAGCCTGCTTCTTGTGGGAGAAGAGTGAACAGAAAAGGGATGGGAAACGTGACTTTCATTTCACTGTGAGCAGGACTGCCTGTCTGTTGTACGGTCAACATCAGGCAGTCTGACAGAAAAGGATTTGCCTCCATAGTTCTGCTCTCACAGCAAGATCTATTTTCCCACACTCCTTGGCATTGGCAAAATGAACACGCTCCAGTTCAGACTCACATATTTAGCTCCCATTTTGCTTGTAAGAGCTGGAATTGAATAGCTATAAATAGTCACGATGAACAGAGGTCAATACATGACTTACAACAGGGCAGGGTGATGGACGACGGCACTGGTCTCAGAAACCAGGCTGGTAGTGGATACAGGAAAAGCTGCAACATCCTGTGCAAAAAGCACTCCAGATAACTCCTGCACTTCTAAAGAAGTTTATCTTTACTCCAAGGAATCTGCAGCTACTCCAAAGTATATAGCTGTCTTAAAATATCAATAGGAAGAACAAAGAATTTTTAGAGCAGATGTAGTAAACATGGTACATTTGGTAGTGGCTAAGTGCTTTGCTCCAGTGCTGGCTGTGGCAACGGCATTTCTCAAGGATGGGCTGTGAGAAAGGCATTTCTGAAAGCTTGTTGTGTTCTCTCCCACAGATGGAGAAGTGGCAGCATATGGAA